GCCCTAAATTAAAGATCCTTTTCTCTCTCTCTTTCTTTCATTGTTATTGTTGTTTTTGTTGTTGTTGTTGTTTGAGACAGAGTCTCTCTCTGTCACCCAGGCTGGAGTGCAGTGGCACAATCTCGGCTTAGTGCAACCTCTGCCTCCCTGGGCTCAAGTGATTCTCCTGCCTCAGCTTCCTGAGTAGCTGGGATTACAGGCATGCTTCACCAAGCCCAGCTAATTTTTGGTATTTTTAGTAGAGATGGGGTTTTGCCGTGTTGGCCAGGCTGAACTTCTGGCCTCAAGTGATCAACCCACCTCAGCCTCCCAAAGGGCTAGAATTACAAGTGTGAGCCACCCCACTGGGCCAAGGATCCTTTTCTTTAAAACCCTCAGAAAGACTTGGACTTCAATGTAAAAGATAACCATAGAGCTGAAGGGACCCTCTGTTGTTTTTCAGACAGCATGCTAAGATGACAAGGTCTTCTGGAGTGTGAAAGTGATCAGCAGAGTCCCTGTCTCCTGGGTCAGTGATCCTTCTACTACTGGCCGCTGCCTTTGATAGGACACTAAAGCCTCAAGGACCTGCCTACGGACACATCTGCAGATGTCACTTACCCTGTACCCAGGGAGTGGCCCCAGAGACACACGGGAGTGATGCCACTTCTTGCCTTGGTCCACTCATAGACACAAATAGCATCCACAGTCAGACCCTCCTCTGTGGGTTTACCCGTAGAGTCCCCGAATCCTGGTAGCAAGAAAAGGCAAACACAGTGTCACTGCCTTCAAAATGAGGGGTCATCAGAGGCCCTCTGCTTGTTGAAAAATCTCTGTACGCCATCCTTAACACATACCTCTGTAGTCAACAGACAAGACATGAAAGCCACCGTCACTCAGCACCTAGGTAACAAAGGAGCTGTTATCACTTTAATTAGAAGATGTAAACAGAAAAGACTTTTCCTCCCTATAGCCATTCATATCACATCGCAAGGAGGGCTATTTCAAAGGTAACTTTAACTTGTTCATTAGTATTTATTTTTAACTGTAGAACCTAGAAAAATAGCTATTATTTTATATTAAATGAATATGAAAAAGAAAGTTTGTTGCACTGTCAAAAACTCTCTAAAGTCAGGATGCTCTAGGTATCTGTATGTACAAAGCATACACACTTGTTTAATAGCTGGGGAAAGATGTATTTTTGAAATTTGGTGTTTGACTTCCAACTTGCTAAGGCAAGGCTCGGTGGGAGAGATGGAAAGCAGGAGGCTGAGCAGGGTCACATAGCCGGGGTGTCACGCTGGCTCTGGCACTTGCCTGCTATGTGACCTTGGCCAAGTTATTTAACATTTACATATGTAAATATTATTCTGAAAAGTGAGAAACAATAATAGTCACCTTTAGGTCTATGAATGTCTTTTTAAAAAAAATTCTTGAGAATAAGAACTCTAAGCAAGTTGTAGAGGCAATTAAAAAGGGGAAGCTATTTATATTAAATATGAATAAAGAGTTAATTTCAATCAATAATAGGGAGATCACTCTAATATATGAGACCGCTGCCAAGCTTCTAGTAGGTGAAGAAAGACTATGAAAACATAATTTAACATGAAATGAAATATAATGATTGTTGTATTTCATGTAGGATTACATGTGCCTGTAATGCTAGCTACTCAGGAGGCTGAGGCAGGAGAATCACTTGAACCTGGGAGGCCAAAATTGCAGTAAGCAACCAAGATCACACCACTGCAGTCCAGCCTGGGCGACAGAGACTCTGTCTCAGAAAAAAATACAATGATAAAGAAAAGAGAGATTAAAAAGGACAGAGTTTTACTGTACAGACACTTCTCAAACTTTATTTAATCCTCACAACTGCACTGTAAAGTAAATATTATCCCCATTTTACAGATAAGCTGAGCCTTGCAGAGTTTAAGTAACTTATTAAAGATTGCCCAACTAGCTAGAACTAGAACCAAGATTCACTCCTGGGTCTGCCTGTGTCCAAATGCTGTGCTTCTCCAACTGCATTTTAGACCCAGGTGGCAAAACCTCATTAGGAACTTGTAAATACAAATTGGACTAATGATGAGGAACTAAATATAACTTTTAAATATCTGTTACATTGCCTGGACAACATGGCCCAGCAAAAAAAAAAAAAAAAAAAAAAAATCTGTTACATTCCCTCCCAAAAAGTTAGCCAAGACACATGGCGGCTAAGCATCAAGGAAAATGGGAATATCCATGTGAGTTGCAGCATGTGTTGAAGGACCGCCTAGCAATACAACCCAAGAACAACAGCAACAGCCGGGCGCGGTAGCTCACACCTGTAATCCCAGCATTTTGGGAGGCCGAGGTGGGTGGATCACGAGGTCAAGAGATTGAGACCATCCTGGGCAACATGGTAAAACTCCATCTCTACTAAAAAATACAAAAATTAGCTGGGCCTGGTGGTGCATGCCTGTAGTCCCAGCTACTCAGGAGACTGAGGCAGGAGAATTGCTTGAACCCGGGAGGCGGAGGTTGCAGTGAGCCAAGATAGTACCACTGCACTCCAGCCTGCTTCCTGGCAACAGGGCAAGATTTTCTCAAAAAAAAAAAAAAAAAAGAATAACAGCAACAAATCCTACTCGTAAGAATTCATCTCTAGGAAAAAAAGGCATGAAAGAAGAAAAATCTAGATGCTTATAGTTTTCTGAAACGATACTATTTAAAACAAATGCAGGGAGAAAAAAAAATCTTATATCCTACAGCAGTGGAACAGTTAAGTAGGCAATGGCTTATAAATACAATGGAGAATGATACAGCTTTAAACTGGTTAATTATGATGACTGAGAACATGGAAGAATGTCTGTAAAATAGTGTTAAGTAAAAGAGCACAACATAAAATTACATAGAGATACAATCGTAGTAACAAAAGCTTTTTATAAGGAGAAATTAAAACTAGGTGGGAATGCAAATCAATGAAAATAGCTGTACTAGTCTGTCACAGTGATGAATACATGAATGAATGAAAATTTAATAATGAAAATTTATTTTTTAAAAGAAATCACCTATCCAGAGGAGGAAACGAAGGGCTAAGGAAGTTTGGTCCTGCTGGGCGATGATGACAGCAGCACTTGACACTTGACGCCCACAGTCTGTCTGGGGCAAAGCCCTGCCATACCAGATGCTCTCCTTCCCCACCCATCCTAACTGCCACAAGGATCACCTGGCTGCACTTCACACCTACAGCTCTTCTTCTTTTTGGGAACATTGAGACAGCTCTGAGTGGGAGGGGAAAAGCACGCACATTCTCATGGACATCAGCTTCACAGTTTCACATGGGGAATGCAAAGGGCAGGGTGCAGAGGGAAAAGCAAACCTAAAAATGAATAGACATGGTCCTCCCAGGCAACACCACACACAGCTACCCCACTCCCCAACCCCACTCGCCTGGCCACCACTCCACAGGCATTGGCTCTGAGAAGGCAATGATGAAGGGACAAGGGGAGGGGACAGTAGAGGAACTTCCTGTCTGCACAGGGGAGGGAGGATGAAGAAAGCACTGGAGATACTGGTACTGCAAGGATTCTGGAGCAGTAATATTGTTTGATCAGGAAAGAACTATGAGGTGGGAGCCAGCAGGTGGGGGAGAGACCAAGTCCCCGTGGTCAACAGCCAGCCAACTGCAGCAGAGATTACCTAAGCAGAGGGTGGAAGAGGATAAAGAGGCAGCTTGCTCAACCATTTCTGAGGCAGATAGGTGGAAACCCTGCCATCTTCTGCACACCTGGAATACAGGGGCTGTCTCAGCAAACCAGTCATGCAGCAGGGAGTGATGAGAGCAAATGTGGCCACATGCTACTCCACAGAGCCTTACATGACTTTTCATGTAAGACTTTTTTTCAAAGACTTTTTTTCTTTAAGTCAGGGTCTTCTCGCTCTGTCGTTCAGGCTGCAGTGTGGTGGCACAATCCTACCTCATTGCAGCCTCAAACTCCCAGGCTCAAACAATCCTCTTGCCTCAGTCTCCTGATTAGCTGGAACTGCAGGCATGTACCACCATATCCAGCTAATTTTTAAATTTTTTTTGTAGAGACAGGATCTCATTACATTGAGACCCTGGTCTCAGCCTCCCAAAGCATTCGTATTACAGGCATGAGCCACTGCACTCAGACTTTTACAAGCAGATATTCTGTGTCTTTAACTTATAACCACTAGAAAAGAAAAAGTTTGCTTCTTTTAAAAGATGTGCTCATTTTGCTCCTTAATAATACTTTTTCGGCCAGGCGCAGTGGCTCACGCCTGTAATCCCAGCACTTTGGGAGGCCGAGGTGGGCGGATCACGAGGTCAGGCATTCGAGACCAGCCTGGCCAACATGGTGAAAACCCATGTGTATTAAAGATACAAAAAATTAGCCTGGCATGGTGGCAGATGCCTGTAGTCCCAGCTACTTGGGAGGCTGAGGCAGGAGAATCGCTTGAACCTGGGAGGCAGAGGTTGCAGTGAGCCGAGATAGTGCCATTGTACTCCAGCGTGGGCAACAGGGTAAGACTCTGTCTCAAATAATAATAATAATAATAATACTTTCTCAACCCATACCCCAGCCCTCAGAGAAAGCAAATAAAAATGTCAGCCAGGTGAGGCGGCTCTTGCCTGTAATCCCAGCACTTTGAGAGGCCGAGGCATGTGGATCACCTGAGGTGACAAGTTTGAGATCAGCCTGGCCAACATGGTGAAACCCTGTCTCTACTAAAAAATACAAAATTAGTCGAGCAAAGTGGCAGGCTCCTGTAATTCCAGCTGCTCAGGAGGCTGAGGCAGGAGAATCACTTGAGCCTTGGAGGTTGGAGTGAGCAAAGATTGCACCACTATATTCCAGCCTGGGGACCAAGTCTAAAAAAAAAAAAAGCCCTCTCAACCCATTCCCCAGTCCTCAGAGAAAGCAAATAAAAACATCTTTACCTCCATTTGGCAATGCGGTTGGTAAGTTCATGAAGGTATTTGGGGACAGAGAAATTCACTTTGCTTTTGATTCTCTAAGGTCAGTGCAGCAGCTGAAGTCCACTGGTGGGACTTTGAGCCCCAGACACCACAACCCACCCTGACCAGTACCCTGAAGACCTCTCAAAAGACAACCATACTGAGGGCCCGAGGAAAATATTATGACTCTCGAACAGGATGGATGAGGACTTATGAAACAGGTGCTTTGCAATGTCTTCAGACATACCTTTACCAGCCTGAGTCTGTGAGAAGCTGCCCTGTGAAGGTTTAAAAAAAAAAAAAAACGAATTAGGAATGATGATGACAGATTCAATATAAATCACTCTCCTGCTGCTAGTTTCTGATCTTGCACCTTTCTCTTTCAGGTTGGAGGAATAAATAACTAGAAGAAGGAAATGCTTTTTGGTGTCAGAGCCCGCTCGGACATGTCAAGGTGAGTGATCAATGGCTCCCCACTGGGCCCGCGTTCCTCTCAGTGAGGGCTGGATGCCCAGATCTTTGTATCGCTTCTCAATATCGGCATTTGATGAACTGCTGATAAACCACCTTTTTTTGCTTCTACACAGTGAAACTTATTTCTAATAATACTCTTAGAAGCTAAAGGAAAATGGGCTCCAGAAAGTGACTTTCAGAACAAGGGACGATGTCATCAAGCTATACTAAACTAAGACTTCCCTAAATCCTGTCCACTCTGCCGTTAAGTGCAAGACAAAGTGAAGGAAAGAGGCTCACAGCCCCAGAGGCACCAAAACCATTTCTTCCCAAAAATAGTCTACTTCCTATTAACCACACTAATACAAGAGCATCAGAGCTAATTCACAAGACAGAGAATTTTTTTATTATGTCACAATGCTAATGCAGCCACAAATTCGATTTTATTATGATGAAATACAAGATCCTTTCCAGAATTTTTAAATTTAATTTTATTGTAGATGTTATTTTAAGTTTGTGATTAAGAAGTTAGTAGTTGTAGTCTTTATTGTGACTGAGACTTCTGCTGTAATATTTGTCGGAATAAGATTGCACCTGTATTTTCAGGAAGAAGCATGATGGTCTTTTTAATGTTTCCTTTTTTTAAGAAATTAAAAATTTATTTTTTAAAAAGTTTTAGGTTCAAAGCAAAACTGAGCACAAAATACAGAGTTCCCACATAACCCCTGTCCTCACACACAACCTTCTCTCTCTATCAACATCCCAAGCACCACAATGGTACATTTGTTACAATCATTAACCTACATGGATACATTATTACCATCCAAATTGCCTGGTTTACATTAGGGCTCACTCTTGGTGTTGTATATTCTATGGGCTTTCACAGATGTAGAACGACATGTATTCACCATTGTAGTATCATCCAGAAGATTTCCACCGCCCTAGAAATCCTCTGTGCTCTGCCTATTCTTTCCTCCCTCACCCCTCAAGCCCTGGAAACTACTCATCAAAAGGCAGAGAACTCTTAAAAGCCATTTATTTGCATTTTTTCATAGAGCCAAGTTTCTTAAACTTATATGTCATGGAGCATTTTGACATATAGTCAACTGAACAATCTGGTTAAGGCTATGGACCCATTTCCAAAGGAAAAAAAATGTATCCATACTTCAAATTTTATGTACAATTGTGGAGAGGAGTTCTTGGGCCCTCTGAGGCTTCCATGGATTTCAAGTATAGAGCCACTGTTTTTGCTGCCTCCACAGGTTCCCTGTAATCTCCCGTTTGAGGAGAGTACCATCTGGTACTCATTACTTGCAGCTCAGGACTGCTGATAGAAAGCTGACCCTTCTGGACAGAGAGCAAAAGTAAGCTGTATCTCATCCCAGAGCCAGGAAATCTGGGATCATTGAGCCACTTGCAGATTTACACAGAAAGACAGACACCCTGTGTGGTCCACATGGTCCTTTAAATAAGTATATTGTAACATCATGCCCAAGTTTACACAATCAATACAAAGTTAAACTGTGTTGAAAATTTCCTGGGTTTCACAGGAAATTGCAGTAAATGTGGCTCTAAAATGGACACATCAAGAAAGCCCCTTGAGCAAAGGCAAGTCTTGAGAAAGCCATCACCTGCCAGAAAAAGACAGGGAGGAAGGGAGTCACAGGCAGGTGCTCCTCCCAAGATGGAAGAGATCTGTGGGTTTCCCAGGCACATCGCCCCTGCCCCAGGCTGAAGGGGCACAGTCATAGCTGATGATCATCACCCAATATAATTATACAGGCCCAGAAAGGCTCTGACAGCACATCAAAGGGGAGCCAGGCTCCTGGGAGACGTTCTTTGTTACAAAGCGAGTTTGGGACTATAGAGAATGGGCTGAGGCCTAAATATTCTAGATTAGAATTAGTCAGATGGTCTCCAGTACAGAGATCAGAATTCCATGTGACCTCTGTAAGGAGTCATATTTTTGGTTAGTAGCATTAAAGCTGAACAAGGGACTCTCCACTGCAGTGTTCTGAAAAGTCACTGATGTGGAAATGGCTCTTCCTTCCCCATAATGCATGCCTATTCCCTTTCCTGTCATTCATGGGTTCAACCCATCATTCCAGACACTCTTAGGGAGCAAAGGAATCATCCCTTTCTTTGAAATCAACATCCAAGTTTTGGAAGAGTTATTCTTTTCTCCTTCTCAGTTAGAGATCCACATTATTCTACATATAGAATAATCTTTTTAAGTGAAGCTTATTGCCAGAACACCCTCAGATTTCAACAAAGGAAAAGAAATATGTGAAGGCATGCCTACAGAGTTAAAAACGGAGCTCTGTCCTTCTTCATTCCCCATGGGGCTGAAATGCTCTCAATCTCTTAAAAGAAAAAAAATGTAAGCAGAGCCACTGACCTGTGTTCTGCACTGCCATGAAGATAAACAATAATTGGGTTCCCATCGCGAAGGGCTGCTTCATACCAGCCACGGTCCTTCCCCTTGGCATCTTCCCCCCGGCAGCTGGGGACTGTGTGCCTGAAGAGCAAGGGAGGTTTAAACAAATGTAGGGAGAGGAATTCTCCATCCTTGCCAAAGGCTGAAACTCTCCTTATGATATATATACATATATTTTAATTTTTTATCTTAGTAATATATGCACATGATAAAAATAAAAATCTAACACCACAAAGTGTCTTATAATGAGAACTACTACTGTCCTACCCCATGTCCCCATGCATAGAGGCAATCCCCCCACCTTTTTTTTTTTCTTTGAGACAGAGTCTCACTCTATTGCCCAGACTGAAGTGCAATGGCATGATCTTGGCTCACTGCAACCTCCGCCTCCCAGGTTCAAGTGATTATCCTGCCTCAGCCTCCTGAGTAGCTAGGATCACAGGCACCCACCACCATACCCAGCTAATTTTTACATTTTTAGTAGAGACGGGGTTTCACCATGTTGGTAAGGCTGGTCTTGAACTCCTGACCTCGGGATCTGCCTGCCTGGGCCTCCCAAAGTGTTGGAATTACAGGCGTGAGCCACCGTGCCAGCCCACAGAAACATTTATTTCATGACAGTGGTAATAATTGTCAAAAGGAACAAGCCCAGGTGGCCATGACAGCACATACCTAAAATAGGCAGTGAGGAAAGGCGTTCTTAAAAACTATCAACTCAAGTGAGACTCAGTAGATGAGTAGGCAGTTAGGAGAGAGAAAGCAGAGAGCTGAGACATAGAAGATGTCTTGGGAGGGCAGATTTGAGGTCATGAAGGCAAGGGTGGTATGGAATACGGCAGAAGGGGCAGGTGAGGCCAGAAGCTAAGGGCAACATCTAAAAGTCTATATTCCAAAGCAAAATTCTTAGAAAGCAAAATCAAGCAAATCAACAGAAGAGGAAGCTGTATGAAACAGCCTCCAGGTACCTCCAGGAGCACCCACCTCTCCATGGGCAGGTAACAAAGCACTGCTCCTCTGTATCCTTCTAATAGGAAAACCTGCCCCATCAAGCAACCCAGTGGCCCATCCATGCACTCACCAGATCCCTAGCATCACCCCAGGTTCAACTCTCAGGTAGAAGTTCACTGTGTGAGGAATCTTTAACTCCGGTTTCTTTAAATCCACAAGAAATGGGGCTTTGACTGGAAAGTAAAAATCATTATCAACTCCAAAAATTAAACCCCATGCCTTTTAATCACAATCAAAGAAAAGAATTAGCCTACATAGGTTAACAGCCTTCTAAGTTGCAAGCTATGACACTAAACTCCTAGCAGAGTATTTTATTTTATCAACTAGGACTAGCCTGCAGAAGAGGGGCAGAAAACCAAAACCTAAAAGCTGGATTTTAAAATAGCATCAGTGTGGCAGCTCATAATAGAGAAACAGAGTTACTCAATCCCTATCCTTGTCTCCAGCTAAAAGCAGAGGAGACCATTCCCCTAAGAAGGTAAAAAAGCCTAAAAGAAAAGTATTCTGCTACTTCAGTGAAACCTAATCATCAGCCAAAAGGCAAGAAACATCCAGACTTCACACACCAGGAGGCAAGCAGGCAAGAACTGGAAGGACTGTGTTACATTGACTAACACATAGTTCAGTAGAGGAAAAAACAGGAAAAATAGATTCCTTACATCAGTACCATTCTCTCTCTCTGTTTCTCTCTCTCTCTCTCTCTCTCTCTCTCTCTCTCTCTCTTTCTCTCTCTCTCTTTCTCTCTCTCTCTCTTTCTCTCTCTCTCATCTTTAAGGGATGCAGATAAGAAGAAAGGCAGAGAATACAGTAAGCAGTTAGGTATCCATATTAACAACTAATTAATTTGCAGTCAGCTCTGGAATTGAAGCCCTGCCTACAAGCCTATGCATCTCTCTTTACTCCCAGCAGTTTGCAAGGATTCCTGCTAGACTTCAAAGTCAATATTAAATAAGTTTCAGACCATTTCAATCTAGCCACAATTTTACAGCGGACATGTCTGTTCGTTACATCCCAACCAGAAGGGCAGTGAGGTCTTTATTTAGGAAAAATAATGTAGACAAATTTATGGAAGGTCCATACTTACAAAAATTAAAATAAATTAGCATGTCTATCAGAGGAGGGAAAATATGTTCTTTTAAGGATTTACTAGTAAAGTTGTCATACAGAGCAGCAATTTTTCTTCCAAGCGTTGAACAGGAGTGTGGAAAAGATCTGCAAGATATTAGGAAACACATGAGGTTTTCAAAATTAATCCTTTTGTCTTGGTTTGTATTTTTCTTTTTTTCTTTCTCTTCTTCTTCTTCTTCTTTTTTTTGAAAAGGAGTTCTGCTCTTGTTGCCCAGGCTGGAGTGCTATGGTGCAATCTCAGCTCATTGCAACCTCTGCCTCCCGGGTTCAGGCAATTCTCCTGCCTCAGCCTCCCAAGTAGCTGGGACTATGGGCACGCACCACCATGCCCAGCTAATTTTTGTATTTTTAGTAGAGACAGGGTTTCACCATATTGGCCAGGTTGGTCTCGAACTCCTGATCTCAGGTGACCTGCCCCCAAATTTCAGAGACTAACACTGGGAATTCCAGGTCACTTGGCATTTAAGCAAAATGTTTTACACAATGACATGGAATTATCTACAGGGCAGGTCAAGACTGGCACTAAGGGGAAACCAGATAAGGAGAGCAGTAAGGCAGGGCCCCAACCAGTAGCTGAAAAAGTCAGGGCATGACAGGGACAGGAGAAGGGACAATGTTTGCACCACAGCCAGGTTTGGTCCCTTACTATAGCCCCATAGAAGGCTGAGGATGGACCCCAAAGTCACCAGCAAACAGAATTCAGACAGTTTAATAGTCACCGCAGTTTTTAATTATATCGCAATTCTGCACTATATGTGTTAGCTTTGTCATCATTAGTCTCAATCAGGGAGAGAATAATCCTTAGATCCTCTCTATTCTGGAAGAAATGAGCCAGTGTGAGAAGATCCCACTTCTAAGATGAGATCCCTGAAGAGAGGGACCCATGAGGCCCAGGGCTGCAGCCTGCTCGGGGAGTGGGATGGGCGCACACACATCTTGCGTACGCTACTGTTCCCTGTGACACAAACCACCCAATCAGGAGCTGTCAGCACACAAGTGACAGTTTGTCCATAAGGGGTCACTAAGGACACCTCTGTCTCAAGCCGCCTCTCTTGTGAAGGTCTTAGAAAGATTGGGATGCAGGAGGTCAAGGTCATCATCTCCTGCTTCCAGTATGGGTAACACCCCCCATGGGCACTGAGGAAGAACTGTCCAGACCCCAGGCACAATTAGTGCCTAAAGAATGTCTTATAGTGTTATTACTCAGCTATTTCCTTTATATAATCCTTTATATATAATCATATATTAGTTTATAGAATTAATACCTGAAGTATAACTTACTGCTTACATATATCTAGCTTATATAATCATACTTAATGCTTATATCTAGCATACTTAGTTCTATATAATCTATCTAATCCTATAGGTATTGTAGTCGGAGCTGTACTGACACACTTAGTGCTGATTTATAGAATCCTTCCATATAACCATATAGTAGTTTGTAGTAGGAGAAATGCCTAGAGCAGTCACAGAACAGAAGCAGTACATGGGAAAATAGCCAGACTAGGACAAGAACCAAAGACCCAGGCGGTGGCGAACCTGCCTGAAAGGGCAAACGCTGTATGGCAGGCTTGGAGCAAGGGCCTCTCCTCCTGATAAAGGAGTTGTAGTACCTTGCATCCACTTCCTGTGGAAATTAGGCCTCAGGCCTGAGATTCTGGAAGTAACTGAGGGAGAAGAACCCCTCTGGTGTGAACAGTCATGGCAGCTGTACAGCCTGTCTGTCTTTTCTCACTTCTGTGCTAGCTCAAATCATCCTCCCATAAATGCTTTAAGAGAAGAGCACAAGTCTGTCAGCTCCCATTACATTGGCTTACAGTATCCTTCTATTAGAAATCCTTTGAAGTCTCTAGCCCCCAGATAAGAAGTGTTGCACATGACACATGTTGCACACAGCCCACCTCCTTGCCTCGGTGATCTAACGGGGGGTGGACCCCTTTTCTGTACACGATCTTCTACTGCGCACGGCACGGCCCCCTACTGCGCGCAGCCCACCTCTCTGCCCAGGTGACATAATGGGGCGGCCCCTTCACTTGTGACTCACATGATTATGTATGCCCTATTACTAAGCCTATAGATAATGACCTCACTCACGACCCTGCTCCCTGCTTGTACCTAATAAATACAGATGCTTCTGGGCATTTGGGACTCTCGCTGATGTCTGCTCATACGTTTCATGGTCCCTCGAGTTCAGCTGCTCTTCACCAGTTCTTCAGTGTCCTGTCCCTTTACTTCTCAGATCCTGCACCTCAGCACAACATAAGGGACACCCCGCGACCCTGTGGTGCCCTAAAGCACTACATTCCAGTTTTTGCCCACATTATCCATTAAATAAGTCCCTTTCCATGTTTGAGAGGTCATTGTTAAGACTGTTTAATGTAGCCAAATGATAAGGTTGAGAGGCTAGAAAGCAGTTTTGATAAATTGTTTCCCCCTGCCCTGATTCCTCTGCTAGACTGGAGGCATTTTTGGAAGATAATCATTACCTTTGCTTTGCAAATGAGACTGGAAAGTTAACTACTCTTTCCAAGGTCACAAGCCAAAGAATGGCAAAGCCACACATAACCTGCTGTCTGATCCCATAGTCCTGGTGACATCCAAGTGAGCAGAAATGAACCCCAGGAGCCAGGCTGGCCTCTGGCAAAATTCTGCTTGTAGTCAGTCTTGCTTTAAGATCCCCTTCCACGTCTTAGCCTTCTCAGGGTCTTGTCCTTTCTCCTTTCCTCCTTGCTCCTCCTGTGTTCTCAGGAGCCCTCAGATAACAAAGTCATCAAATAAAGACCTCTAAAAAAAAAATTCCCCCTAAAGTGTTAATGACTTTAAAAATCAGAGCACTTATATGTGTTTGGAAGAGGCATGAAAGGAGAAGATAATGAATTTCTGATGAATTTCCAGAAGTTCTGCAAGAAGTGGAAAAGATATGTGGGCTAAGACTAATGGCTAGCTCTTCAAATACATCATACATGGGCAATTGCCTACTCATAAAATCAGCAAGAAAGAAACGAAAATGTTTCATAATACTTTAAAATAGCACCCCACCACCCCCGCCATGAAGGCAGCAGGAAGGAGAGAACGTTGTTGTTCTGATTTTAGAGATAAAAAATCAAAACCCAGAGAAGCCACTTTGAGCCACAGATCAAGCCCAAATGGACAGAACTGAACACAGGCTGACTATGCTTCGTTCCAGCCTCTGGCTCCTGCTGGCTTCCCCCTAAGCTCCTGACAC